AATGTGTTGGCCTTCTTCAGAACTTTGAAGAAGGGCAGGGATCTCTCAGCTGACCGGGAAAGGAACCGGCTGAGGGCCGCTAAACGACCGGTCAACTTTTGAACATCCCTAACGGAGGTAGGGGCTTGCATTTCAGTGATGGCCCGGATTTTCTCTGGGTTGGGCTCTATCCCTCTCTTGGTCACCATGAATCCCAAGAACTTCCCGGTACGAACCGCGAAGACGCATTTCTTAAGATTCAGCCGGAGGTTGTACCTTGCCATGATATCGAACGTGGCTCGCATATCAGCCGGGTGGTTCAGAGATACCTGGCTTTTGATCAGCATGTCGTCGACGTATGCCTCCATGGTCTTTCCGAGTAATGGCTTGAAGAGTTTGTTCACCATGCGCTGGTAGGTTGCCCCCGAGTTCTTCAAGCCAAACGCCATTACCCGGTAGCAGTAGGTTCCTTCGGGTGTGAGGAATGACGTCTTCTCTTCATCTTCTTTGGCCATGTAGATTTGGTGGTAACCCTTGAAGGCGTCCATGAAACTTAGGAGTTCGCACCCCGCAGTTTCGTCCACCATTTGATCTGGACTGAGAAGGGGGTATGAATCCATCGGACAAGCCTTGTTCAAGTCCGTATAATCCACACACATTCTCCACGTGTCGCCCTTGGGAGCAAGGACAACGTTGGCCAGCCAATCCGGGTACTTGACTTCCCGGATGTGACCAACACTGAGGAGGTCTTTCACTTCCTTCTTGACGAACTCTCGCCGGTCACTGGCCAGGTACCGCTTCTTCTGTCGTACCGGTCGACTTCCCTTTCTCACGGCCAACCGGTGGCAGATAACAGAGCGATCTATCCCGGGCATATCTGCCACGCTCCATGCGAATATGCCCGCGTATTCTTGGAGGACCCGTGTAATCTGTTCCTTGAGATCCTCGGGGAGATTTGCTCCAATTCTGACCATCCTCGAAGGATCACCCGGGTGAAGTTCGATTTCCACTGTCTCGGCCTCGGGCTCCAATTTCTCCCGGGTCTCTCCCTTCGTGATTTCTTGGGAGATGACATTGACCCCCTTGGTCATCTTCTTGACTGCCCGGGCATAGCACTCCCGGGCGTTCCTCTGGTTGCCCTTCACCTCACCCACACCACATGGAGTGTGGAACTTCATGCATAGATGAGGCATGGAGATCACCGCCCCGACTCTATTGATGCCTGGCCTTCCAAGAATTGCGTTGTGGACGCATTTGATGTCCACAACTATGAACCGCATCTTCTTCCACACGGTCTTTTCACCTGATCCTAGTTCGACCGGTAGAACTATAGATCCTTCAGCTTCGACGGTGTCCCCCGTAAAGCCTGAGAGAGGGGTTTTGAGGGGTTCAAGTTGTGTTCGACACAACCTGAGTTTTTGGAAGGTCTCCAGGTATAAGATGTTGACACTGCTGCCGGTGTCAACGAGTACCCGGGCGACATCCACCCCATTAATGTCCATGGTGATGACCAATGGAATTGTGATCTTCACCGGTAGGAGGGAGATCCCGGTCAGTAAAGACGATAGGCTCCCTCCTAGTATGTTTACGCCTGGGCGGTTCAGCACTTACCTCTCCAACGTAAATGCTCCGGACCCAGTTCTTCCGCTGCGCGGCTGAATCTCCACCCTCGGGTCCGCCGAAGATCATGCCGATGTGCTCTTTTTCGGAAGCAGGTTGCCGCTCCCTTGGCCGGTTATTCCTCCGCCGGTCGTTGTCCCGGTCATCCCCTAGGGCAGTTGGCCTAACCCATTGATGACTCTTCTCCTGGGCTTTCTGCAAGTAATCTTTGCCCAGCTCTCCACTGTCGATCATCTGCCGGATGACCCCCTTAACACTCTTGCATTCGGAGGTGTTATGGGAATCTGATCTGTGGTACGAACAATAGGTGCCCGACCACTGCCGCCCTACTTGACCGGTAGGGTTTTCTGGAAGAATGACCGGTGCTTTCCGGACTTCTTGGCATTCTTCCGTATTGACCACTCGGATGACCGAGTCATAGTGGTGCCTCGGCCGGCTAGGTCCCGGTGCTTCTTCCTTCTTGACTTACACCGGCTTGGGCTTGTGACCATGCTCAGCTTCTCTCTTTGCCCGGAGCTGGGTTTCAGCTTCAGCAAACTCCCATGCAGTATGGTAGGCCTCTTGGTACGTGGCTGGGGGTTTCCGGCAGAACTCCTTGTATAGTTCCCCAGCACGCAAGCCATTCAAGAGGAGGGATAGGACGGTCTTGTCATCCATCTCTTCCACCTTGTCTACCTCTTCCTTCCACCGGGTAAGGAACTGAGTGAGGTTCTCAGACTCCCTCTGCCCGGCTGTACTAAGATAGGTGAACTTCTTCCTCTTAGTACAATTCTCCTGGAACTTGGCCTTGAATTTTGAGGCCAAATCATTGAACGAGTCAATGTTTCCCGGGCGAAGCTTATTGAACCATTCAGTGGCTCGGTTCCGTAAGGTCTGGAAGAAAAGAAGACACTTTTCTTCATCGGTGCAACCGTTCATGGTCGCACTCTGGTTGAAGGAGTCCAGATGGATTTCCGAATCTTCCTTCCCGGTGAATCTGGGGGCGTCGATCTTGACCTTTCGCGGGAAAGGTGTCAGATGGACCCTTGCGGTGAACGGGGACCCTGCCAGGGGTTTGTCCCGGTCATTCTTCTCTCCGACCTTCTTTTCCAGCCTTTCCAGCTTTGCCTCCATCTGCTGGACGCGGTCGTTTGGGATGGTTAACCGGTTCGCCACCGGTAACCTGGGCTGGCTTTCTGCCTCCTCTTCCTGGTGGGAGGCCCTCGTCCTCGCTGGCTCCTGCCGGTTAGACCGGGAGTGCCGGGTGCGGGCAGGCTCGGCCTCCCGCACCTCGCCTAGCCGGGCAAATGCGCTGACATGGGCAACGCTCTGCCCCAGCCTTTGCTTGGCTGACTTCCTCTGGCCTTCTTCCCTATCCCCCAGCCTTTCGAAGGCGGTGTTTCGGGAGGTCGCTGGCCGGATGTTTTTTCCTTTCTTCTTCTTGTGGGCCCTCGGGATGTCCCACTCGCCATCATCGCTCTCAATCGAGACGCAATGACCGTCAGGAGTGATCTGCGGATTCGTAGCTTGCGGGGGACGCGACGGCCCTGCGGCGTTAAGTGTGCCGGTCAAGTTTACAGGGGTCATGGTGCTGACCAGCTGGGGCTGGAAAGGTGATGGTTGCGGCATCGGCGTCTGGAACGACGTTACCGCCATCGGAGCTTGTAGGGGCATGGTTCCCGCGCCCGGAAGAGCGAACGGGAACATACCAGGGAGAAAAGGCATCCCCCCGTTCTGTTGGCACATGGCCATGACCTGACCGAAGCCCTGGATGGCTTGTAGGTTGGCTGGGTCATTCATGAACTGAGTCATGCTTGGTGGGAACGTGACCCTCGGTCCAGCGGAAGGGACGGGGGTCGCGAAGGGACTGATCACGCTGGCCGTCGGGACAGAGCTCAGACCCAGAGGCAACACCGGGGCTGAAATGACCGGTATGGTAGCAGCCACAGGGATGCTGGCGCCCTCATTGGTGGCTTGCACCTGTGCGGAAGTAGCGTTGATTTGCTGGCTGGAAGACATTTCGAGTGGTGTTTTGGTGGGTAGGTTTGTGTTTAGAAGAGAAGAAACCTTAACGGTCCCACGGGTGGCGCCAAAAATGATGGTGTAAATTACTCGACCGGTCAAACTATACTAGACCGGGTCTAGAATAGTTTGTTCGATTTGGCAAAGTAAAAAAGGTAAAAACACGCAGATTGACCGGTAGGACTTTAGGTGGAACACCTGTAGCCCAATTTATATTATAACGGAGAATGCACGGGTGCTTTTACAAGGGAGTTTAGAGAGAATGAATTCGGATCCCTCTTTCTGAGGTTTACATGAGTATTCATACTAGGCTAAGGGGACAGGACCACGTGCGCCCACATGGGGGCATGCTGCTGATGTGGTGCGAGGTGACTGGTTTCGTCCTCGAGCTGCCTTGTCGCCTTGCGAGGGAGATCATTCCCTTTGTCGAGTAGTGCCTTGGATGGATTCTTCAGCATCTCCAGTTGTCCTCTACTGACACGGGTCGCTACACGCCAAGCCCTCGCAGATCCTCTTCTGCCGACACTTTCCAACCCCAGAAACTACACCGGGTAATCTCCGAGGGATGAATTTATCGAAGTCTGGAATAAATAGGATGATAACGTAGTTTGACCGGTATACTTTTTTGTGAAGTATACCGGTCATATTTTGGCCGATGATATGTCGTTTTGCTGACGATTTAAGTCTCCTTTCCAAAACTCTCGAGATTGACCGGTCAATGATTTGGCCTTCTCCTTTGACCAGTCGTGGGTGGAATACACCCATCAAGAAGAATCAGCAGATATCATTGTCGAATATTATAATCAACTATTTATTTATGTATAATCAGTTCTTGTTGTTCTTCTACACTTAACCCTATAGGCTAAGGTTCCTTTTGACTAACTAAGTCATGGACACTCAATGGGCGGGTTGGAGCCCCTACAAAGGAATCCCTAGGTAGGCTAATGACTCCCGTACGTACGTATTTAACCCAAGACCCGTGAGTTATGCGAAGCTCGCCCCACCAGGCCTAAATGATCTTAATCCTTGTGAGTCTGCTTTAACTCAGATCTTCCTAGATATACCGGATGGCCTATTTCCATAATTTCAATTTAACACACAAATATCCTCAATTCAGTAGTCTAGAAGTTTTGGGCTATTTTGTATTCATTGCTTTATTTGGCATCAAATTGTAAAAAAAAGAATTAGTTGCAACCAATTAAAAATTCTAGGGTCAATTGCAATTCCTTACAAAATGTACGTTGTCTCCGAGCTGGCCATTGCAACTTGCATCTTCTTCGTGTAGTTCCCGTCGGCGAGCAGGAACTTGGCCGGCATCCTAGCGACTCCGGCAGCGACCAGCAGCTCCACGCCAAAACAACAGCGGTGGAGCAGTTCCTCCGATGGTAACAGGACGAACTTCCTGTTCCGTTCCCAGCAGCAAACCACCGGCGGCCCAGAACCAGTCCGGCGGCATTGAGTTCTCCCTCCGGGAATCAGCGGCACAGAGAGGGAGTAGCAACCGATTGAAAGGACAGAACAGATGGACGAGGAACAGAACAGAGCGAGGAAAAGGACAGAGAGAAGGCAGAAGAACGCAATAGAACAGAACCGAACAAGAACAATACAACTCCGAATTCAACTCAATTCAATTCAATCCAATCAATCAATTAATTCAACAATTCAATTCACAAATTCATCCTCAATTACACGAAAATATATGGACGAACCCTAATCTATGAATTAACTCTAACGAGAGATAAATCACTCACCTTGAATCGGCGTAGAAATCTCTAATTACACCGGCGAATCCTCGGCGAAGATCCGACAGGTTTTCCGGCGAATATTCGTGTCCAACCCCCGGCGACAACTCTGGCGATGTCCGGCGAGCTCCCCTCTAGCGTCGTTTGTGTGAGTAGAAGAAGAAGACAGGACCGTAGATATGCCTAACGGATATCCCTTCCTTTCCCCTTATTTATTATTATCATTATTATCATTAATATTATTATTAAATCCCTATACATTAGTTTACTGAACTGTATTGACCATTTCGCTCACCACAGTTCACACGAAATTCCAAACTTGACAAACAATATGTCGTTGGCTACCATTTTACGAGATCTACCCGAAAATCCAATTTTTAACTAAAATGGTCAACTTTACAAATATTTCATATTTTGAAGTCAATAAATAATCTTTTTATTTTTATTAAAATAACGGCTAATTACTAAGCCGGTTTTTAGGGCGTTACAGGACCAACAATCTGCTTTCACGTGCCCATATTTGCTGCAATTATAGCACTGAATATGGCTCTTGTCGCCTTGTTGTCCACCTTTTGCACCTGATCGACCGCCACGACCTCGACCTTGACCACGCCCACGACCTCGGAGACCTCCTCTGCCTCGTCCTCTTGCTGTAGAGAATTCCTTTTGATTGGAGGATTCACCTTTCACTTGAAAAGCTTTTTCATCAGACTTTTCAAATGATCGGTTAATCCTTGACTCGTGGGCTTAAAGAGATCCCATCAGTTCTTCGAACGAAAAAACTGATAGATCCTTCGATTCTTCAATCACAGCTACAACATGATCAAACTTTGGAGTCAAGCTTCTGAGTACCTTCTCGACGATGGTCTGGTCTGTGATCTTTTCTCCGCAAGATCGCATTTGACTAACTATTGTCATTGCCCTCGACAAAAAACCAGTCACCGATTCTCCATTCTTCATGATCATCGTTTCAAAGTCACGTCGGAGTGATTGCAATCTCACAACGATGACTTTTGAGTCTCCTTTGAATTCTTTCTGCAAGATTGACCATGCTTGCTTTGAGTTGGTTGCCGTTGCAATTCGGGAGAAGACGTTGTCGTGGACTGCTTACTGGATGATCGCCAACGCCTTCGAATCTTTCTTCTTGTTCTCCCGCAATCTGTTCGCCTCGTCGGGATCTGCGTATCCCAGTTCCACGAAGTCCCACAGATCCTGAGACTTTAGTAGAGTCTTCATCCGAATACTCCAGTATTCGTAGCCTTCTCCCTTAAAGATTGGTATGAGAGGCTGTGAAGCACTCATTGAACTCCCGTTGCTGGCCATCGGAAAGGAACCAAATGGCTCTGATACCACAAATGTTGGAACTGGAAAGCAGAGAACAAAAAAACAAAGACTTCAAAGTAGAGATAGAATTGAGAAGGAAGAATTAATTTTTATTCACTGATATGTAGAGCTATTTATACTGCTCTAAACATGAAAAAACAAACGGAGATAAACTCCAACAAATCAGAGATCCTAAAAATCCTCTCCACTAAGCATGACTTATTCCACTAACAGAAATACCAAAAGAATAGGAATAATGAAAATAACCCACAAGTACTTAGTCTATGATGAGCTGTCAATTATGAATCAACAAACTTTAATCACATTTCCCTCCCAAATCCCGCGATTTCTATCAATCGCTCGCTGCCTCTATAGTCTCTACCCCTTCCTTCCTCGCGAAGGCGGGTTGTTCCCTCCGATCTCCATTAACAATGTCAGCCGAGTCCGCCTCTGCCATCCCCAAAGGCCAGGTATGGATTCCCGCGTCGCTTCCCTCAGATCTATTTTTTATTTATATTTCCTTACGAGAAGTTATCTACACACAGATATTATCCGTATTGAGTTAGCTAATGATTGTCTGGTATTCGGGTGGCATTGAACGTTGATGAACACAAACAGGTTGATTTGCTGGACTCCATCAACTGGCCCGAAGTCGAATGCCTGAACCAGAAAACCAATCGCCCCATCAGCTACGCCCTCAAGCAGGTAGGGCAACGCCTTGCTGAAATTGAGATTTCTCCAGTTTTATGATTTGGTACGAGTTTGGTTGTGAAACTGTTTTCTCTTTCAATTACGATAATCTGTACTGTGGTTGAATTGATGAATTTTAGATTATTGAGGACGATAGAGATGGACATTGGAAGATTTTGAGTCTTAATTACCGACCCGATTAGTACCATTTGATTTTTTGCTTTGTGTTTCTTTTGGCGATTTCATAGATGTTTCCTGCAATAGCAGGTTTAGATCGGTTGTTAGTGGGTTTGGAGCATTGGGTATAAGAATATTTATCGAGCAAGAACAAGAAGCTTGGTAGAATCTCAACACCATAAGGGTCACTCTTATAAGAACAAAAATTTTGTTTCCGTTAGACCCTTGATGTATTGCTGCATATATTGCCCAATTCATAGAATGTAAGAAGCAACGGCAGTTTAAAGTGCCATTTTGATTTGTGCATTCTCCTTTTAGCTCCATTGCCAATGATAGCGAATCAAAACTATGTTATCAACCTTTCCCATCCCAGACAGTCATCGAGGGCCAAGTAGCCAGCTAATACGATATACAATGCTATGGACAATGTTGAAATGCTTGAACAAGAGGAGGAACAAGAAGCCCTCTTCATACAACAAACACATCTCTATGTTTCATTAAAACTTGATTCTTCTTCACACGTTAATCTCTTTAATAACAACAATAGGTGTTGTTATTAAGTATTCCATGAAAATGAGTAAACATATTCGTTGAACAAGATGCACGGAAGGGGCCAGTTTATGAGTAAATATTTTGTCCTACCTATGAATGCTTATGTAAACAAGCCCGACCAACCTTCTTTTTATGACTGATGACACACTAGAAAGGGAAGCATAATAACTTCCCATTCAAAATTCATGCTTCAAGCGCTTGACACGCTTGGACTACACAGCATATAGTTCAGAATGTTCCCAAAGAGCAGAACTGACAAGCCTATGTTAGATTTTGACGGTATCCCTTTTGGACAAGTTAAACTCGTCTTCTAACAACCACAAGCCCGATTAAGGATCTCTACTGGATGAATGTACTTTTTTTCAAACTAGGCACTTCATATATTCTATTAAGTGTGTGCAGTCATGTTGTTAGTTTTATTGCTTGGTAACTTTCATGATTTGGCCTGTCTAAACAAATATGGTTTGTTTCTTGTTTTTCATATTATATTTTAGGGATACAGAGAAGATGATGGATTGAGTCTTGTCAGTGATACTGATGAGCAGCTTCTGATTTACATACCATTTAAACACGCTGTTAAACTTCATTCCATTGTTGTCAAAGGCCCCAAGGAAGAAGGTAGTCATGTCCCTTACACAGTCCACAGTTCTATATAAAGATTATTGATATGCGTTTTCCAATTAGTTTAAGTTCTAATTTGTCA